ATCTTCTGACTAGAAAAGGCTGTAAAATTGCTGTTTTAGGGTATTGACTTTATTTGACAAATACTGTCCTGCATCAAACCTAATTCTTGTTATTGTTGGATTATTAGCCACTTTTGTCCATCCCAACATGATTTTTGTTGAAATGGTCTCTCGTTCTTCACATGTCGTGTGTTTAAAGATATAATTTTCAAATTTCTTGTCATTTTTATTTATGATCAAGAGAGGAAAAAAATACATACTTATGTATTTGTGTCAATTCGTCTAACTCATCATGATTACTAGTCAAGTTTGATGACTTGATACACGATATAATGGTATTTTGTCAATCTTTAACTGAGATGAAGATTACTTTGAATCGGACATCTGTTAACAATAGGGTACTAGGTTGGAATGTATTCCAACGTGGTAAAATTCCTAATATTGTTTAAAAACGTTTACTTTTTCGCATTTCTTACCTTTCCTGTTTATTGGAATTCCAAAAGGTTAAACCAAGTTAAAAAAGTTAGTTGAACTCTATGGTCGTGCCACATATGTATATAATTAGCCAAGAAAAATAACATAGTCATTAGTTTTGCAAACGATATTCACTCGAGTGACCAACTAGGTAAACATTCAAATGTTTAGTCATTACATAGTGACATTTTTATAGTTCAAAGACTATTTCCAAACATGCATAGCGTGTAAAACTTCGACTAAAACCATCGAACTGCAAGCAAAATGTAAACCGGAATACAATTAAAAACCCATTATCTATGGTTGATTTTTCTTTTATCCTTTTCATATTGCATGTACAGGCCAGTAGAAAACATATTTAATTGTTTGAAGAATTTAGGTTTGGACATGAATGATACAGTAACTGTTAAAAGTGAAATGGCTTTATGGATCATATGCAACAACCAGAAGGGAGACATTGCATAAAAGTTACTTTGCTTTAATGCTTGTCCAACAACCATGTTGAGATGCACTTATTATTTGGTGCAAGATAAAGCTTGTTGCCAGAATTCACTGAAATTATTGGAGAGAGGGGTCTAGAAAGAGAGCGACATTTTAGTAAATGAGAAATTATATTTGTAATTTACACTAACTCGTGTCCCACACAAGAGACATGCATGTTTAGATGCAGTACTGAACATAATTATACAATATGCCTCTGTTTATTTTCCATTCTTTTCTATTAAAATGAAACATATGACCGTTATCCATCACATCAAGCTACCAAATTTGAATTTTTATCTCTTATGTGAGGTCCATAACGACTATATTTTTTATTTTCATTCTTACAAAAATGGGAAACAAACGGGACTTATAATTTTTTCAGGATAAATCAACCACAATGGAAAAGTGCAGGGTGAATGTTGAAGCTCGTCCTCTATCTGTGTCTAGCCAATCGAGCACAGAAGCAGTACATACAACAATTGCAACTTATGAATGCTTCCATTCGTGACATGAGATTACGGGAAAAGTGGGCACCCTTCTACCCGAGATCTCACCACGAGAATATAGCGGGCTAAAGTGCTTTGAGATACAAACTTTGGATGATCACCCTCGAGCAATGACTTCGAACTTGACAATGAGTTTGCTTAATACTTCACGAAACATTTGTTAAGCACAAGTTGAATGTGACCAATGTACTCCACGGTCTCAGGATGAGAGAAGATTTTATTTTAATTTTTTTCTTTAGGAGGTCACGTCTAGCTAGCCCCCACATAATACTCTTCTTTTTTAGTTATTAATAATCGTACAGTATAATAGACGTGCGAGTACGTTGATTTTTATTTTTTTTTACATATGCGACAAGAAATTAAGGATTTCTTTTTCTTTTTTGGCTTAAGATTGTCGTAATGTAATAAAGAAGCATATTTGAAACTGAGAATCCAGGCTGTCGATATTAATGCTAAATTTTATTGAAAAGATCTACACATTAGGCTATTAGACTTGAAGAATTGAGTTCCGCTTATATATATATTGTTTTTTTCTGAATATGTAAGCCCCCGATCCCTAGGTTGCTGCAGGGCAGTCCTGATTGAACTAACTAGTTGCTTAGCTAAACTCGTGACATGGTTTATTTATCAATGAACTGTGTATCAACGTTGTGCTTTGGAAGCAAGCTCTTCAAAAGTGATGGGCCGTACACTCCCTTTCGATTATCCATTGAATCTTACCCAGTCTCACCTCTCTATATCTTATTCCACCTCCCCTAGCCCTACCTCGCTTGTTTCGGCCAGCCTCAGTCCTTCCCACGATACCTGGACATCGACTAAAGTCTCGTTAGAGCCCCATTATTTCACATTTTATTAAATTAAATTTTTCTCTCTCCTACTTTTAACCACACAATTTTCAATAAAATAATATTACATGTAAATCAAAAACTTTTCAACCACTCATTTTTCAAAAAATAATATTCACCTCATTATAATTTACAAATAATGGGGCTCAACCGGGGCTAAATGGCTAAAATCCCATCATTTTACATGTGGTTATATATTTTGTCTTGACCAGAATGGGAAACGGAAGAGTCTACTTGACGAGGGTGGGGGTGAGAGTAGGGGTCTGACAAATTGAACAACATTCGAGTATTTCAAGTAAAGAAGAGAAATCGAAATGAAATCTTTTCATTTGCTAATAAGATGTGTATATATATGTTGAAAATTTCAATCATGTTATAAGTATAAAAAATTTTGACTAACAATACATGATATAAAATCATTTGAAGATGGGAAAAAAATATAAAAGAACAGGTGAATTACATTTCGCCATGTCTGCATCTGTATTAATTCAGAAAGGAAATCCCTGTACTTGAGGTTTTTTTCTAAAAATTTAATAAAAGAAAATACCTGAGTAACCGCTAAACGGGAACAACTAATCTCAATTCAATTCATTTGTGTCAAAATCGATAGCTATTTAATTGTTTCTTAAACTATGAGTTGCACTAGTTCATTTTCGATCGAACAATAACCTTTCAAGCTTTTTGAATATTCCTAACATGACATTGACCACATAGAATACAAATTCATAAGAACGGTCTCTATAAAAAGAATATGATAGAGAGTGCAAATGAAGTAATGAACCCACCAATAGAAACATTGCACGAGCCTATAAGGTCAAGTCAAATACACTATTCGATAAACCTCTTCCCACTATTATAGTGTTGCTACAACCCTCGGACTGCCGTTGGTTGCACCTAGCAAACACACGTCGTCTCAAACCCCTTCAGCATAAGCAATCCATTATTCTTTTAAAAGAGCTATGTTCCTCGAATAAAATCTAGTAGTTGTTGGATAAACTGGCACATGATTTATATTCTGCTAATAAAATATACGTTAACGTAAATATGAATAGAGTAATGGCTAATCAAAATAATGGTGCGTGCATAATAATGAGCAAATCACAACTTATTCTAAGGCTCGGATCAAATCGTACCCGTCCCGAATCAAATTGAATCGGGTATCTGAATCGAAAATGAACCGATTCAATTCAATTCTCGATTCTACACCCCAAATCGAAGAACCAAATAGAAATCAAATCTCTCTAGTTTTTTAATTAATTTATCATAACTAAGTCAAATTGTTTTAATTTTTCTAAATAAATTTGCTTACTAATTAATTTAGCCCAAACTCAAAATAAGATTTTTTTTTTAATTTCTAATTTTCATTCCAAGCTCAACTTAATCATATTGACCTAAGTTTTATTTGAATCTATTATTCTATTGCGGTACGGTTTCTATAGTTCTAGAGAAATTGAATTGGAAGCTTTTCTCTATGTGATTTTAACAATCAAATCTATTAAAAACTCAATAAAGAGGAGTAAAAGATACATAAGATAAAACAACATTATTTTGTAAAGGCTAAAATTGAACATATCATTAATTGAATTAATGTAATTTTATTGTAAATAATAAAAAAATGAATTATTGTATTGAACTCAGGAATCGAACTAATTTGAACGTTTCCACAATTAAATTTGAACATGATGGTTCTATTTATTAAATACTAGAAAATTCGGGTTTGGTTTGGTTCTAAAGAGAACCAAACAGAACTGCACAATGAACAGCCCTAACTTACTCAGACGTAGAATATGCAAAATTTTGAAGGAGATAAAATAAAACGAGGTATGCGAATGAAAATCTCTTTAAAACATATTTCACCCCTATATTGGTGCTAACATGATTAAATTGACGTCCATCTCCCAAGGTACATCTATCTAGAGATTGGAATTTTCAAAATTACCGAATGAACTAAATCTTGATTGTACTCTTCTAAAACAGAAGATATCAAAAACAGAACTCAAAATTATTTTGACATAATTTGGAGGGGAGTGAAATGGAATTTGGAGTATCATATTTTATAGATTTTCATATATCTCTTCAAACGGTTGCATCGTTTGGTACAAATTCATTTCAATCATTAGATGGCACAATTTCATATTGATGGTCTAGATTACACCTTATCAAAAGGTCACACCCATTCTGAAACAACATAATTCTTTGATACGCGCTCTTTGCAATTGAAGAGTCATGACTAGTCACACCAATGGAGACTTTTTCAATTAAGTTGCTATTTTAATTTTTTTGGATGCACGTATTTTTGTTTAACGGAATATAATTCATGCACCAATTTATCCAACAGTAGTAACACAAAAACAGTAGATTTCGTGAGAGTCTTTTGCTGTCTCGAACCGTAAAAACTGTTGTTCGATACTTCTAAGAAAAACTAGTAATCTACATGCTACGACTTAAAATTGCTTTTTCGAAATAAACTTAGCCCTTGTTTGAGCCACATTATGGGAATGAAAATGCATTTTTGAAGAGTATATTGATGGGAAATGTGTGGTTAAAAAGTAAGGAAAATTTTTTGATTTACATGTAATATTATTTTATTGAAGAATGTGCGGTTGAAATGATGTCAAATCACTGTTAAATAATGCATTTTTCCAAATAATGTAGCTCAAACAGGGCCTTAAATTGTAATCTGGTGCCATTCATTCACACTTGGTTACTTTTTTCTCTATCTATCCCTATTGCCTTCAACTGTGTTAAAACGTGTGTTACTCTTCTAGGCCCCGGAATAAACTGTATATCCTGAGGGAACACCAAACCATTTTGCCACCTACTCTACATATTGATTCGACGACAACAAAATTTCTTCTACGTGTTGAAAGCTCGACCATTGAAAATCCCTGTTTTATTAGGCATCACTATCTTATGGAGTAGTAACATGACTCTTGTCAAGCGTGCTCCTTGGTTCTTCAGTGTTGTTGGAGATTAACAGGCCTTTTCAGCTTCTGAAAATTTCAAAAAAATTCTTTTTTATGATCATTCGATGAGTTTCTCGGCTGGAGACGTGGTTTTTCACAGAGGCAATGTTTAGGGAATCCCTTTTATCCGATGGAGTGGAATTCGAAAATGCCGACAGGGTTCAACTGTGATGGTGTCGAGCCAACCGAACTCGCCCTACAAGTGATTGAGACTGACAAAGATGTGGACATAGCTTTTTTAAATAGTGGTTTTGAAAGTGGATCTTCTTCAAGAAACCCTTTTGTAACATCTGGTTCTTTGCCTGTTAGCAATAAATTTGACGAAAACTTTATCGGGATGGAAAAGATAAGTGGGAGCTCAGGCGAATCGTTTAATTGTTTAGAACTTGGAAAGCAGAAAGTGTATAGATTGGCGCCTTCAATTCCAGTGTCGTATCCTGCTACAAAAAGATCGAGGGCGTCTTATCAGAAAGCGCAGAATCCTTGCTGCCAAGTTGAAGGGTGCAATCTTGATCTTACTTTAGTGAAAGATTACCACAGACGCCATAGAATCTGCGAAATTCATTCCAAAAGCCCCAAGGTAATTGTAGCGGGAATGGAAAGGCGGTTTTGCCAACAATGCAGCAGGCAAGTTTCTCTATATTCTGCTATTTATTTGTTCGACAGTTACAAGGTTTTTTTTGACATAAAACTGTCTGTTTAATGATTTGAAAGATTCCATGGCCTGTCGGAGTTTGATGATAATAAGAGAAGCTGTCGAAGGCGCCTTTCTGATCACAATGCTAGACGACGTAGGCTGCAGCCTGAACCCATCCATTTCACCACAGCAGGACTGTCTTCTTCATTTTATGGTGTTCTTTAAACTCGTAAATTTTCAATTTCTATTTAGATTTTGGCTTAGTAAGTACAAGTAATCCCTCGTTTCTGATCTGAACAGAGAGGACATCACAGAATGTGCAGTTCAACGTACTCCCTATCTCGGGTTCAAATCGAAGGAGGGAAACTATCTGCAATTCTATGCTGACACAAGCCGGTGATTCCCTCATTAGGCCTTCAAAGACTGGAGGAATTGATGAGCGACCGTGTTTTCCCAACGATGAAATGCCTTCTGCTGTTTATAACCTGAAAGTCGAATCAGAGAGGTTATTGTCCCTTCAGAGCCCGAATCCTCGGATCCTAGATCAATGTACGTCTTCTTCTATTTATTTCCAACACTCATTCTTACATCGTCTAACAAGGATGAACTGCCACTTCCTAGAGACATTCCTATGGCTATTTTGTGGTCTTTTCTTTCTGAAGTTATTCTTCAGTTGGAAAAGAAGCTGTTAATCCCTTCATACACAATAGATAAGATAAAAGAAACTTGTCGTGTTTACTTGCATTTGCAACTAATTCTGCCATTTCAGCAGATCTTCCGAGTGCTTCCTCTCTTCTGTCAGTTGACAATCCTTGGAGTTTGAATCGGGATGAATCCATTTCTATGGAGGGCTTAATGCACAGAAACGCAAGTGTGGACAATCCGATTAGGCTGCAGAACTGGCCATTTGCTCAAGCAGTGGCAAACGAAGGGCCTTCTGTTTCTCCGGTGCATTCGACTAGTTTACATAATTCAGGCAGCTCCCTTTTGCAAGAGTTTGATTTATTCAAGACACCTTACGACTCAGGCAGCTTTCATATCAATTATCAAAGGAATATATAATTGGAACTGTTCATCTCTAGGTAAATAGCTCATTTGTTTCAACTTTATTCACTGTTGAAATTCAGGTTTCTTTGGAAATTATGTATGAAATTCCTTTAAGGCTTCAAACAGTGGACAATCATCCAGTCATCTTCACAAGTACAAAATCTCGTTTGATCTTTGAAACCGTGTTCAAATGTCTAGTGCATCTTTGGTACTTTACATGTATAATCAATTTTCTCTTTAGATCTTTCTTACATAAAATAATTTTTATAGCTTATATGTTAATTAAATTGTCCAGTCATATATTTACTTAAAAAACAAGAAGGGGAAAATATTGGGCATTTTTTATCAACGTGTAACGGTCAAATATAGTTTTATTTCGATTCCAAGTGTGACCACAGTCATCCATTCTTCGATCGCTCATTGTATTAAAGAGGATAGGTACAAGGAGCGAAAATCGGATTAAAAATTATATTCTTTTGACTCGAATGGAAACAATAAATGGAACTTACAAAATTTAAAATTTGAAAGTAGTATTTAAAATAAATAAATAAATAAATAAAAATTGAAAGTAGTATATTCGTTACAATTAAAATGAAGTAAGAATAAATTAAAAATCTTTAAGCCCAACTCAAAAACTTGCAATTCAAATACACCTAAAATACATCTTAATATACCATAAAATGTAGGAAAACAAGTCGCTAGTGGATGAAATCAATTGTATACGTTTTATTCAAATGCAATAGCCGACTATTGAAATTAATAACCACAAGGCAAACGATTTCAATTTATCAAAAAAAATTCGTTTCAGAATTTTCCAACGGCTAAAAAAAATGTTTAGCGATATAAAATCAGAAATACAAGTTAACTGCAGGCTAAAACTGTAAACGATGAATCTGGAAGTTGCACACTATGAAACTACAAACTGCATGAATTAAATAGTAATGCGAAAATAATATACAGAAATAAATGAAAACTGATGCGAAAATAATCTGCAGAAATAAATGGAAACTGAAACTGCAAGGATAAACTAAATCTGCAAAGAAACTACATGAACTGCAAAGAAATAAATCTGCAGAAAGAAAACACAAACTGCAACAGATTTCAAACGGAGGCCTGTGCGTGCACAGTTTCCTTAAGACAGTTTCGCCCCCTCACCGTAGGCGCTGACGGTTCAGTTCGAGCGGCTATCTCCCAGGATACAACGGTAATAAGCAGAATCCGAGCACCGTGGTTCTACTCCGGCGAGCTGATTTAGTATCTAAACAATATCACCACAAGACCTTACTGGACAAGGAATGCAGAAAAGAAGAAACTGAGTATGCAGGAATGTAGGTGAGATTTTCGAGTGTGTTAGATTGTTGGAGAATGAGCATTTTTATAAACATATTGCCCATTAATATTGTGACCATTGGGAGTCCAATGGAGTTACTTCCCATTAATATTGTGACCATTGGGAGTCCATTGGAGTTTTTTCAGTTTAGAAACTCAAAAGTCATTGGAGAAGGCAAAAAAATAAAAATAAAAATTGGCAAAACGTGGGCTCTCCGATGGGGCCATTTTTGCCTTGTTCGGTCCGATATTCGTGTGCGCAGGTCACGCCCGCACTCAAGTTCAGGGTCCGAAGGCCATTTCGGTTCGTGATTTGCACCCTCTGCGCGCGGACGTGGAGAGAGCTCTATGCTACACATAATTACACATCTTCAAAGTATAGCCATATATAAAGTGGTTTGAATTTCCCTTGATTTTCCTATGTGGGATAAATGCATTTTTTTCCCACAAAACCAACTTTCAATGACCAACTTTAAGCTTCAATTTCTCATTCATCCGAGCTTCATTTTTGGCAAATAAATACATGAAATCGATGTTCTCGCGGAGGAGAACACATATCAACTTTAATATTCTACATTGGACTAACGGGTCCCATTGAAAATTGTGCCAAAAGTGAGCCGCTCACTCAATTTTTCCAACAATCCCCCACATGAATGAAAATTGGGAGAGACACGAAACGTGAAACACAAGACTTGGTGACAAAGTTCAGCGGTTGAATCCTGCATAGGATAGGTAGGTGTTACCCTTTGAACCTTCCCTTGTGAAAGCATATTTACTTTGCTGGCTGACCAGTAGACGCGATGTCCTTGAACTGTTCTTCCATTTGTGTAAATGATGATATACCTCACACGAGATTCTTCCTAACACAATCCAGTTCTCATTGTTATGTTCGTTTTGGACATGAACATATGCCTGGTTCTGTGAGAGTTCTTAAGAATTGAGCCCCGCACAATTCTCTTAGAAGCGGCCCCACTTCTCTCTCACATAGGTGATTTCTTATTATAAGTAACCCGCATTACTTGGCTCGATTTACGATGCATAAGAATCATTAAAATCCTATTGCTTAACCTTCAACCTTACGGGCATCACTGTTATATCATAGGAATGAATAGGAGGTAATACCCTCACAGTGATTTTATCAAGTTTTTACAGTTAGGTTTTCCCATTGAACCTAAATCTTGGGATCTCCAGTCAACTAGGTTGAATTTTCCTTTGTAATGACTTATTCTTTCAAGGGCTCAAGTCTCATTCCTTTCGATGATATCATAACTAACTCTCTATTTAATCCTTTGGTTAGCGGATCATTAATGTTATCTTTTGACCTTATATGGTCAATAGTGATAACTCCAGTTGAGAGTAGTTGTTTTATGGTATTGTGTCTACGACATATATGTCTAGACTTACCATTATATATGTTACTCTATGCCCTTTCTATTGCCAATTGATTGTCACAATATATGCAAATTACTGGCACAAGTTTTGACCATCTTGGAATATCCTCTAAGAAGTTGCGCAACCATTCAACCTCTTCACCACATTTATCTAGAGCTATAAACTCAGATTCCATCGTAGATCTGGCTATAACCATTTGCTTAGAGGATTTCCACGATATGGCAGCATCACCCAATGTGAACACATATCCCCTGGTGGATTTTGAGTCTTTTATATTAAATATCCAATTAGCATCACTGTATCCTTTAATGACTACTGGATATCGAGTATAATGTAGTCAATAATCACGAGTATATCTTAAGTACCTTAGTATTCTTACAATTCCTTTCCAGTGATCAGCTCCTAGATTACTCGTGTATCTAGTTAGTTTACTGACAGTGTAGGCTATGTCTGGTCTAGTACAACTCATTAAATACATTAGACTTTCGATAACTTTCGAGTATTCTACTTGAGAGATACTTTCTCCTCTGTTTTTAGACAGATGTTGACTCGTATCTATTGGTATTCTAGCCAAGCCAGTATCATCCTTATGGAATTTTTCTAAAATTTTGTCCACATAATGTGACTGACTTAGAACAAGCCCATTTGATGTTCTTGAGATTTTCACTCCAAGTATAACATCAGCTAAACCCATATCTTTCATGTCAAATCTCGAGTTTAACATATTTTTAGTGGATTCATTCATCTTATTGTCACTACCAACAATAAGCATGTCGTCAACGTAAAAACATAAGATGACATATCCATCTTTAGTGTCTTTGACGTAAACACATTTGTCACATTCATTAATTTTAAATCCACTCTCAATCATGACATTGTCAAATTTTTCATGCCATTGTTTTGGTGCTCGTTTCAAACCATATAGTGACTTCACCAGTTTACAGACTTTCTTTCCTGTCCTAGTGACGAAAACCCCTCAAGTTGTTCCATGTAAATTTCTTCTTCTTAATCTCCATTTAGAAAGGCAGTTTTAACATCCATTTGATGTACTTCAAGATTTCGCAAAGCGACAATCGTAAGTATCATCCTAATAGATGTTATTCTCATCACTGGAGAATACGTATCAAAGTAATCAAGGCCTTCCCTTTGTTTGTAGTCTTTAATTACAAATCTGGCCTTATACTTCTCAATAGTTCCATCTGCTTTCATTTTCCTTTTGAAAATCCATTTGTAGTCTAGTGGTTTGCTTCCTGGAGGAAGATCCACTAGCTCCCATGTATGATTTTGCAGTATGGAATCTATTTCACTTTCAATGGCTTCTTTCCATTGAGGTCCTTCCGAGGAATTCACTACTTCTTGATAACTTTGAGGTTCACTTTCTAGCATATAGGTCAGAAAATCAGGACCATAAGATTTTTCTGTCCTTTCTCGTTTGCTGCGTCTAACCTCTAATTCTTCGTTCTGACTATTTTCAGTCATTGTCTCATATGTTCGTTTAGAGGAGCTTGCTTCTTCTTTGGATATATATGGAAATACTTCTTCAAATAATGTAGCATTCCTTGATTCCATTATTGTGTTTTTGTGTATGTTTTGAATCATACACGAGGAAGTGATACGCACTGCTATTATGTGCATAGCCAATGAAGACACAGTCTATAGTTTTCGGGTATATCCTTACCTTCTTTGGTGGTGGAACAACCACTTTAGCAAGACACCTCCAGACTCGCAAGTGTTTATAGGTAGAGATTCTTCCTTTCCATAACTCATAAGGGGTCTTTTCCAATTTCTTTCGGGGCACCTTATTTAAAAGGTAATTTGCTGATAACACAGCTTCTCCCCACATGTTCTGAGGTAACCTAGAACTTACGAGCATTGCATTTATCATCTCTTTTAAGGTACGATTTTTTCGTTCAGCAACACCATTTTGTTGCGGTGAATAAGGGGCAGTGGTTTCATGTATGATTCCATGTTGTGCACAGAATTCAGCAAATGGTGCTTCATACTCACCACCTCGATCACTTCACAGCACCTTAATTTTCTTATTAAGTTGATTCTCAACTTCATTCTTATAGAGAATAAATTTCTTTATAGCTTCATCCTTACTTTTAAGCAGATATACATAACAGTATTTTAAGTTATCGTCGATAAAAGTAATAAAATACTTGTTGCCACCTCTTGTTTGTACAAGTTTTAGATCACACATGTCACTGTGAACTAAATCTAGTGGTTCTGTGTTCCGTTCAATTGATTTAAACGATGACCTTGTCAATTTTGTTTCAACACAAGTTTCACACTTATGTTTGGAATCGTTATTGAACTTAGGTATGCAGTTAGAGTTAACTAGTCTTCGTAAAGTATCATAGTTAACGTGTCCTAGTCTACCATGTCACAAATTGGAAGACTCAAGCAAATAAGCAGAAGAACTTGCTTTATTCATTTTTGGTTTCACAACCATTACA